CAACCTTTGGATATCGAAAAACATTTAATGAAAACTGGAAAAATTGCAAAATAAAAATCATTGAAAATCATTTAAAAATCGAAAAAATAAATATCCAGAAACTGAAGAATCGAAAGATTGAAGAAACGAGAAATTTAAAGATCATAAAAGTAAAAATCGGGAAACTCAAAAGTCGAAAAACTGAAAATCGAAATTTGATTTAAAAATCGAAAAATTGCAAGTGGCAAAATTGAAAAATTTAAAAACGAAAACTAAAAAAATTCCATCGCGATAAATAGAATAATCGATAAATAAAAAATCAATAAACTAAGAAATCGAATAATTGGAAAATTAAACGTGGAAAATCGAAATGAAAAACTTCTATGTACATTTGAAATTGAAAACTTGAATAATTGCCAAATAAAACCCAACAACTTAAAAAAAAATCAAAATTATAATTGAAAAATCAAACATGAAAAAATAAAAAAAATTCAATCTTTGAAAATCGAAAAACATTTAATGAAAGCTAGACAAATTGCAAAATAAAAATCCAAGATATCCTCTAAGAAAAGAGAGGGAGGGTGGGTGGGCGGGGCTAGTATCTGCTAAGATGGGTACCAAAAAATCTCCCGAATATTATTTAAAAAAAACTACCTATGAAACCAGTGAGAAACTAATAAATCGAAAAATTCGAAAGTTAAAAAAAATGTAAAGTAAAAATCGAAAAATGCGATATTTTGAAAATCGCAAAAATCGCAAAATTAAAAATTGGGAAATCGAATAACTGAAAAATTTAATGAAAACTAGGAAAATTACAAAGTAAGAATCCAAAAACAGTAAAAAACATAAATAAAAATATTTGAAAAGTGTCAAAATGAAAAATTGCATAATAACTAAAAAATCGAAAAAACAAATATCGAGAAACTGAGAAGTCGAAAAACTGAAGAATCGGAAGTTGAAAATGGAAAAATTGAAACATTTAAAACTAGAAACTACAAAGATTGCACAATATTTGAAACATCTAAGAAATCGAAGAATTAAAATTTAAAAATCGAAAAATTGCAAACTGGTAAAATTGAAAAATTTAAAAACGAAAACTAAAAAAATTCCATCGCGATAAATAGAATAATCGATAAATAAAAAATCAATAAACTAAGAAATCGAAAAATTGGAAAATTAAACGTGGAAAATCGAAATGAAAAACTTCTACATTTGAAATTGAAAACTTGAATAATTGCCAAATAAAACCCAACAACTTAAAAATCAAAATAATTGAAAAATCACACATGAAAAAACAAAAAAAATTCAATCTTTGAAAATCGAAAAACATTTAATGAAAGCTAGAGAAATTGCAAAATAAAAATCAAAAAATTGTAAAAAAAACACAAAAAGAGAGACGGAGGGTGGGCGGGGCTAGTATCTGCTAAGATAAGACTGATTTTGGCAAATGAGATACCCGCTAAGAAAATAGTGGGCGGGGCTTGTACCTGCTAAAATAAGACCGATTTTGGCAAATGACATACCTTCCCAGAAAAGAGAGGGTGGGTGGGCGGGGCTAGTATCTGCTAAGATGGGTACCAAAAAATCTCCCGAATATTATTTAAAAAAAACTACCTATTAAACTAGTGAGAAACTAATTAATCGAAAAATTCAAAAGTTAAAAAAAATGTAAAGTAAAAATCGAAAAATGCGATATTTTGAAAATCGCAAAATTAAAAATTGGGAAATCGAATAACTGAAAAATTTAATGAAAACTAGGAAAATTACAAAGTAAAAATCCAAAAACAGTAAAAAACTTAAATAAAAATATTTGAAGTGTCAAAATGAAAAATTGCATAATAACTAAAAAATCGAAAAAACAAATATCGAGAAACTGAGAAGTCGAAAAACTGAAGAATCGGAAGGTGAAAATGGAAAAATTGAAACATTTAAAACTAGAAACTACAAAGATTGCACAATATTTGAAACATCTAAGAAATCGAAGAATTAAAATTTAAAAATCGAAAAATTGCAAAGTAGTAAAATTGAAAAATTTAAAAACGAACACTAAAAAAATTCCATCGCGAGAAATAGAATTATCGATAAATAAAAAATCAATAAACTAAGAAATCGAAAAATTGGAAAATTAAACGTGGAAAATCGAAATGACAAACTTCTACATTTGAAATTGAAAACTTGAATAATTGCCAAACAAAATCCAACAATTTAAAAATCAATATAATAATTGAAAAATCAAACATGAAAAAATAAAAAAAAATCAATCTTTGAAAATCGAAAAACATTTAATGAAAACTTGATAAATTGCAGAATAAAAATCCAGAAATTAAAAAAAAAAACACAAGAGAGAGGGTGGGTGGGCGGGACTAGTACTTGCTAAGATAAGACTGATTTTGGCAAATAAATTTTACCCTCTTTCTTAATATAGGTAGTCGTCTTTTTTTGTTTAATCTTTGTTTTTTTTAAGTTTTACTTCAATAACAGGAGGTTAAAGTATTTTCAGTTTCTTGTTGGGAAAAAATATTTCGTATATTAAGAAAAAATGGGCAACATATAAGCCCCACCCACCCACCCCTTCTCCATTGTGATAATTTTTTTATTCATCGTGAGCTCATGTCTTTACAAGAAAATACCATATGAAATATGTTTTTAAAAGGGTAGAATTTTCTAGAAACATTTTGATTAGGAATGAAAAAATCATCACAATCGAGATAGGGTGGGTGGGCGGGCCTTATATTTTCCCCTTTTTCTTAATATAGGTAGTCTTTTTTTGTTTAATCTTTGTTTTTTTTTTAATATAGACTTTTATTTCAATAACAAGATTATAATTAACATATTTTCAGTTTCTTGTTGGAAAAAAAAAAACTTCGTATATCAAGAAAAAATGGGTAAAATATAAGCCCCACCCACCCACCCCTTCTCAATTGTGATGAATTTCCTATTCATCGTTGGCTCATTTCTAGAAATTACGATATGAAATATGTTTTTAAAAGCGTAGAATTTTCTAGAAAAATTTTGATATAACAATTAAACTTCACCCCTCGGTCTGATAAGAAGTGAAAAAATCATCACAATCGAGACAGGGTGGGTGGGCGGGCCTTATATTTTACCCTCTTTCTTAATATAGGTAGTCGTCTTTTTTTGTTTAATCTTTGTTTTTTTTTTAATGTAGAGTTTTACTTCAATAACAGGAGGATAGTTAACGAATTTTCAGTTTCTTGTTGGGAAAAAATATTTCGTATATTAAGAAAAAATGGGCAACATATAAGCCCCACCCACCCACCCCTTCTCAATTGTGATCATTTTTTTATTCATTGTGAGCTCATTTCTTTACAAGAAAATACCATATGAAATATTTTTTTAAAAGGTAGAATTTTCTAGAAACATTTTGATGTTGCAATTAAACTCCGCCCCTCGGTCTGATTAGCAATGAAAAAATCATCAGAATAGAGATAGGGTGGGTGGGCGGGCCTTATATTTTACCCTCTTTCTTAATATAGGTAGTTGTCTTTTTTTGTTTAATCTTTGTTTTTTTTTTAATACAGAGTTTTATTTCAATAACAGGATGATAATTGACAATTTTCAGTTTTTTGTTGGAAAAAAAACTTCGTATATTTAGAAAAAATGGGCAAAATATAAGCCCCACCCACCCACCCCTTCTCAATTCTGATGATTTTTTTATTCATCGTGGGCTCATTTCTAGAAATTACGATATGAAATATGTTTTTAAAAGAGTAGAATTTTCTAGAAAAAATTTAATTTCACAATTAAACTTCGCCCGTCGGTCTGATTAGGAATGAAAAAATCATCAGTATCGAGATAGGGTGGGTGGGTGGGCCTTATATTTTACCCTTTTTCTTAATATAGGTAGTCGTCTTTTTTTGTTTAATCTTTGTTTTTTTTTAATATAGACTTTTATTTCAATAACAAGATTATAATTAACATATTTTCAGTTTCTTGTTGGAAAAAAAAAACTTCGTATATCAAGAAAAAAATGGGTAAAATATAAGCCCCACCCACCCACCCCTTTTCAATTGTGATGAATTTCCTATTCATCGTTGGCTCATTTCTAGAAATTACGATATGAAATATGTTTTTAAAAGGGTAGAATTTTCTAGAAAAATTTTGATATAACAATTAAACTTCACCCCTCGGTCTGATAAGGAGTGAAAAAATCATCACAATCGAGACAGGGTGGGTGGGCGGGCCTTATATTTTACCCTCTTTCTTAATATAAGTAGTCGTCTTTTTTGTTTAATCTTTGTTTTTTTTAGTGTAGAGTTTTACTTCAATAACAGGACGATAGTTAACGTATTTTCAGTTTCTTGTTGGGAAAAAATATTTCGTATATTAAGAAAAAATGGGCAAAATATAAGACCCCCCACCCACCCCTTCTCCATTGTGATCATTTTTTATTCATCGTGAGCTCATTTCTTTACAAGAAAATACCATATGAAATATGTTTTTAAAAGGTAGAATTTTCTAGAAACATTTTGATGTTGCAATTAAACTTCATCCCTCGGTCTGATTAGGAATGAAAAAATCATCACAATTGAGATAGGGTGGGTGGGCGGGCCTTATATTTTCCCCTTTTTCTTCATATAGGTAGTCGTCTTTTTTTAATCTTTGTTTTTTTTTTAATACAGACTTTTATTTCAGTAACAGGATTATAATTAACATATTTTCAGTTTCTTGTCGGAAAAAAAAATTCGTATATCAAGAAAAAATGGGTAAAATATAAGCCCCACCCACCCACCCCTTCTCAATTGTGGGCGGGACTAGTACCTGCTAAAATAAGACCGATTTTGGCAAATGACATACCTTCCAGGAAAATAGAGGGCGGGTGGGCGGGGCTAGTATTTGTTAAGACAAGACTGAACAATATTAAGAGTAATCACTGGAATGAAGAGGGGGTGGGTGGGCGGGGCTATTGCTTGCGAAAGAAAAGGTTAACCTATATTGTCATGTTATCAAAAAAAAATTAAAAATTGTTGAACCTCTTTTAGCTTTTACGAATTTCATACCTTTGACCACTATGTGTCCATCTTCCACTTTGACTTTTTCGCCCTCTGAAGGTTTACAAATGGCGGAAATAACCGGGAGCTCCTGGATAGCTGGCGATTTAGTAAAATCCACGGTATCCCAATCCGTACTGGGAGAAAAACCCTTATAGTCGTTTTGTTGCCAATGCGAATCGCTCTCGTTTTCCGAAACGACAATTCTCCCTTCAAAAATCAATCAACTTTGACAATTTCTACAAATTTTCCGACAATACCTAACCATTTGACATTTCTTGCACCCACCACCCCTGGAACGATGACCCGTATGGGAAACCCGTGGTCTCTCGGAATCGCCTCTCCGTTCATTTCGTACGCTAGAATCACGTCGCCTCTTTTACTCATCGCCTTCCATAGAGGCACCGACGCCCCGTAGGTTTTACCAGTTGGGTCAAAATCCAGTCCTTCAAACTATTTCTCTGTTAACCACACTCAAGTCAAAAAATTTACATTACTTGGACGTGCTTCAATTTCTTGTCGTCTTCGTCAACTCCTAGTTTGATAAGAACGTCCCTCAACCTAACCCCAGTCCAAGTCGCAGTCCCCACAGCGGCAGCCCCCCAATTCAAACCTTTAACGGGTTTCACCTTTACAAATAATCACATTTGTACACTTTGCAGCTACGCCGTTCTATTTACCTTGACCATTTCGCTTCTCCTGTTACCAGCGCACATGATAGTCGCTGTGATAGTGTGTCTAGGGAGTTTTTTTATTTCGTCTAGAGTCAAAACAAGACACTTTTTTCGCCCCTCAACCTCTACCTCCAATTCGTACGTTTCTGGATCTACTTGAGGCACGGGAAGGTGATTCCGGACATAGAACAATTCACTAAGAAGGGTTAAAATAATTTTCCGGACGACAACTCACTTTGGGGTTATGAATTGTTCGACTAGGAGAAAAGGGGGCGTTTCGGCATTGAAAGGCTTCACGGAGGCGGGCTTGAGGGCTGCGTGTCTCTGCGGGTCGGTGGAGTAGGGGTCCGACATGTCCGCCACCAACTGTTGGGAGTCCTCCTTTGAAACGTTTCCTTGAACAACGATTGGGGGAGAAAGTCACGTGATGCACTTCTCTCTCACTATTGGTTTACGTTGTTACGGATGTTACAACCGTCCAATAGCAAGTGGTGCCGATGTCACGTGATTAGTGGTTTGAATTTGAATCTACACACCTATTCTCAAAGTTTCAAGAATTTGCAGCACGTGCGGATTATTGTGGACGGCATACAACAACCAAAATGGTTCCACGGAACTTCCAGCAGCCAATAGAATCTGGTCACCGCCTGGGTGTTCAGTCACGAAGTCGGTGATGTCGTACACGCCTTCTTTGTAGGTAACCCAGATTCGTTTTTCTCTGCAGATCACATATTCAATAATTAATTTTTATTTATTTATTTATTTTTTTCTTACTTTGTGGAGTGCTCTGAGACTTCGTGGAGGGTATAAACTGGTAAATCTGCTTTGGCCACACCAACGTTTCCCATTTTCATCTCTGGTGACTCAGCTAACACAACTGCATTGTTTCTATAATCTAAATTTTCTTTAAACGCATTTCTTTTCTTTTTTTTTTTTTTTCGTAATTACCGTAAAATTTGTACGCTAGTAAAGTCCCCACAGACGCTCCAAGCAACATTTTGGTGTACTTCCTAGCGCGTGGGGCTCCACTCTCCTGATTTTCTTCATGACCAAACTGGTAACAACTTCTTGAAAACTGATTGACAAATCTGCGGCTTAAAAGCCTATGGTACATGACTCTGCAACGAAAACGTGTTAACATTTTACCAAAATATGCTAAACTAATGTAACCTTGGACCTATATATTTCATCGCGCAATCTTCACTGATTTGTAGATACTACAAATTGTCACAACTTAATACAAATCCAATAAAAACGTGACCTGAAAAAGGTCAACTTCGTGACATATTCTCGTGTAAAACCTGATTACAAACGATTAGATTTGCCCCATCTGATAAGCACCGACATTCAAAACAGTTAATATTTTATTAACAATACCGTGAACAACTTTGTACAGATAAACAGTAGAATAATCGATTTCGTATTGAGGTCGGTTAATAATAGAAATTAATTTGTTAATGTATCAGAGAAATTGCTGTTGACCTAACTAGAACCCATCTATCATCAATCGAAAGAATATTAATGACTTAATTCACCCAGTGGTGAAAAGTAGTTAACAAGGTCAAGAACGTACGCAAAAGTGCTGCTCCAAACACAAAAATGAACGTGTAAGAACTCGTTTTAGCCAATGCTTGCCATTTCACACACCCATATTTGTAAAGACTGATGTTATTTGAACTCGTGAAAAATTAATTAAATTATCACGGTGACAGTCACAACATTGGCGGCCTTGGGGGGTTTAGGGACGTTGCGGTTGGGGGTTGGCGGCGCTGTTAATTGATAAATCGAAAAAAAACGGGCGAAATAAATTGCGTTAGCGAATGTAGAGGCATAATTCGGATTCAACGTGCTTTAATATATCATTGTGGGAATTTTTGTGGCGTAACTTGGACGTTACGAGGGATTCGTTAGTCGGATTTAGTGATTTTTTCGCTGTCCTCGAACCCAACGCTGCCTGGCGGACATGCGTCATGAGCGAACCGTAGTACCCCCTAAGTTAAACATCAGTGTAATGAACTAAATGGTTTGAGGACTCGGAACAGAAGTACTCAAACTACACCGTTGTCGTTTTTCTTAATATAGGTAATCGTCTTTTCTTGTTTAATCTTTGTTTTTTTTAATATAGAGTTTTACTTCAATAACAGGATGATAGTTGACATGTTTTCAGTTTTTTGTTGAAAAAAAAAGACTTCGTATGTAAGAAAAAATGGGCAAAATATAAGCCCCACCCACCCACCCTTTCTCAATTGTGATGAATTTCTTATTCATCGTGGGCTCATTTCATGAAATTACGATATGAAATATGTTTTTAAAAGGGTAGAATTTTCTAGAAAAATTTTGATTTTACAATTAAACTTCGCCCCTCGGTCTGATTAGGAATGAAAAAATCATCACAATCGAGACAGGGTGGGTGGGCGGGCCTTATATTTTGCCCTTTTTCTTAATATAAGTAGTCGTCTTTTTTAGTTTAATCTTTGTTTATTTTTAATGTAGAATTTTACTTCAATAACAGGATGATAATTGACATGTTTTCAGTTTTTTGTTAGAAAAAAAAAATTCGTACATTTAGAAAAAATGGGTAAAATATAGGCCCCACCCACCCACCCCTTCTCAATTGTGATGAATTTTTTATTCATCGTGGGCTCATTTATAGAAATTACGATATAAAATATGTTTTTAAAAGGGTAGAAATTTCTAGAAAAATGTTCACATTACAGTTTTAAACTTTATCCCTCGGTCTGATTTGGAATGAAGAAATCATCACAATCGAGACAGGGTGGGTGGGCGGGACTTATATTTTGCCCTTTTTCTTAATATAGGTAGTCGTCTTTTTTTGTTTAATCTTTGTTTTTTTTAATGTAGAGTTTTATTTCAATAACAAGATGATAGTTAACATATTTTCAGTTTCTTGTTGAAAAAAAAAACTTCGTATATTTAGAAAAAATGGGCAAAATATAAGCCCCACCCACCCACCTCTTCTCAACTGTGATGAATTTCCTATTCATCGTGAGCTCATTTCTAGAAATTACGATGTGAAAAATTGTTTTAAAAGGGTAGAATTTTCAAAAAAAAAATTTTGATTTTACAATTAAACTTCGCCCCTCGGGCTGATTTGGAATGAAAAAATCATCAGAATAGAGATAGGGTGGGCGGGCCTTATATTTTACCCTCTTTCTTAATATAAGTAGTCGTTTTTTTTTGTTTAATCTTTGTTTTTTTTTTTAATATAGAGTTTTATTTCAATAACAGGATGATAGTCAGCATATTTTCAGTTTTTTGTTGGGAAAAAAGGATTTGTATGTTAAGAAAAAATGACGAAAATATAACCCCACCCACCCACCCCTTCTCAATTGTGATGAATTTCTTTTTCATCGTGGGGTCATTTCTAGAAATTACGATATGAAGTATGTTTTTAAAAGGGTAGAAATTTCTAGAAAAATGTTCACATTACAGTTTTAAACTTTATCCCTCGGTCTGATTTGGAATGAAGGAATCATCACAATCGAGACAGGGTGGGTGGGCGGGCCTTATATTTTTCCCTTTTTCTTAATATAGGTAGTCGTATTTTCTTGTTTAATCTTTGTTTTTTTTAATATAGAGTTTTATTTCAATAACAGGATGATAATTGACAATTTTCAGTTTTTTGTTGGAAAAAAAAAACTTCGTATATTTAGAAAAAATGGGCAAAATATAAGCCCCACCCACCCACCCCTTCTCAATTCTGATCATTTTTTTATTCATCGTGGGCTCATTTCTAGAAATTACGATATGAAATATGTTTTTAAAAGAGTAGAATTTTCTAGAAAAAAATTAATTTCACAATTAGACTTCGCCCCTCGGTCTGATTAGGAATGAAAAAATCATCAGTATCGAGATAGGGTGGGTGGGCGGGCCTTATATTTTACCCTCTTTCTTAATATAGGTAGTCGTCTTTTTTTGATTAATCTTTGTTTTTTTTTAATGTAGAGTTTTATTTCAATAACAGGATGATAGTTAACATATTTTCAGTTTCTTGTTGGAAAAAAAAACTTTGTATATTAAGAAAAAATGGACAAAAAATAAGCCCCACCCACCCACCCCTTCTCAATTGTGATGAATTTCTTATTCATCGTGGGCACATTTCGAGAAATTACGATACGAAATATGTTTTTAAAAGGGTAGAATTTTCTAGAAAAATTTTGATGTTGCAATTAAACTCCGCCCTTCGGTCTGATTAGGACTGAAAAAATCATCAGAATAGAGATAGGGCGGGTGGGCGGGCCTTATATTTTACCCTTTTTCTTATTATAGGAAGTCGTCTTTTTTGTTTAATAATCTTTGTTTTTTTTTTAATAATCTTTGTTTTTTTTTTTATGTAGAGTTTTATTTCAATAACAGGATGATAGTTAACATTTTCAGTTTCTTGTTGGAAAAAAAAACTTCGTAAATTATGAAAAAATGGGCCAAATATAAGCCCCACCCACCCACCCTTTCTCAATTGTGATAAATTTTTTATTCATCGTGGGCTCATTTCTAGAAATTACGATATGAAATATGTTTTTAAAAGGGTAAAATTTTCTAGAAAAATTTTGATGTTACAATTAAACTCAGCCCCTCGGTCTAATTAGCAATGAAAAACTCATCACAATTGAGATAGGGCGGGTGGGTGGGACTTAATCTTTATTGTTTTTTTTTCTTTATGTACATCGTTTTCTTTCAACAATTTTTTGGCACAAAGAATAAGAGATATTATAATAAAAACATAGTGACAATATATTACTCAATAATTTTGGACTCTACTTCTAATGTAAGCCACGTAGTGCTTTTTTTGTACCTTCTCGTTTTTGTCGCAAAACTGAAGAAATGAAAATCTGAAAATGAAAAAATTAAAAATTGAAAACTCGAGAAAGTCAATTCGGAAAAAGATAACAAAAAAAAGCCACAAAGAAATTCCTTCTCATTTTGGCGTCTTTTTTTATAAATATTTAATTTTTGTTGTTTTTGGAATTTGTTTGGTCTCCTCTTTGTTTTTTTTTTGTCTATTGTCAAATATCTAACAAGTCTGGCACTATCATCACAATTACCAACCCATAAAAAACAATATAAACTCTTGAAGGAAAACTTTTACTGTCGATTCTAATAATAATAATACTAATAATAATAACAATAAGTGGGTATACCGTATACCCTTGTCATGGAGGTGGAATGGGTGATGGGTAAAGTTTGAGTGCTTCTGGCGGCCAAGCCGACCATCTAGTCCCTTTTCCGCAAAGTCCCCAGATTTGACACATCTGCACCGTGGTCGTTTCGCCCCACGCATCGACCCTGCCCGCACTTGTCAGTTGTCAATGGATCGCAGTGCGTGAATGATGGGTGTAAAATGGCAGGTTTTTTCGAAAAATTCCGTGTTTTAGAGTCAATCCTCAATGAAATGCCGCAAATAGCGGTCTTCGCAACATGGGTGGATGCATAGGAGTGAGTCGTTCCCGGAGCGGCGCGATCGACGATTCGTCGGGGTCCATCTCGAGGCCCAATTCAGGTAACCCAACAACCTTGGCAGCGTTCCCCGAATAAAGCCCCCACCGCAGGTAGTACGCGCAAAAACCACCCGCTGTGCCATGAAACCATTCGCTGGAAGTCCGACGTGCCATTGACCGAGGGCCAGCTCCGGAGCAAGAGGGATGAGTTCTGGGACACGGCGCCCGCCTTCGAGGGCCGCAAGGAGATCTGGGACGCGCTCAGGGCCGCCGCGGTGGCGGCCGAGGCCATGGACTACGAGCTGGCGCAGGCCATACTCGACGGCGCCAGCGTCTCCGTGCCCAACGGGTACCTGACCGAGTGCTACGACGAGCTGGGGGCGCGATACCAGGTCCCCATATATTGCCTTTCCTACCCCATCAACATAGTCAAGGAGGACAACGGGCGGGACTCGCCGGCGGAGTGCTCCGAGCCGGTCGACGGGGGGACCGAAACTGTGCTCAAATTGAGATTATCGCACAATTGTACTGACATTAAGTTGGCGGTTTACTCGACTGATACTATTAGTATGTGTAAAAAGAAGCTGCAGGTGAGTGAGGGGGCGCCGGGGTCCAAATTTCACCCAAAACTTGATTATTATTAACTGATTTCTCCGTCAAATGTGTTTCTTTTAAATATTAGCCCATTAAAATGAATAATTTTTTACGCTGATCTCAAATATCGTGCGATAAAGGAAATGAGGTCATTACAATTTTTACCTTTGCAAAGATTTTAAGACATTGAAAGTTTCAAAACTCAACAAATAAATGATTTTTTGCAAAATAACCACTCCAACAAAGTAGGACTTTTTATCTGGGATTAATACTACCAAGGTTTAAGTTAATATCATTGATTGCGTCAAAGTTTTATTTCGTAAATCTTGCAGATAGACTAATCTGTTTGTCAAAAAAGTAAAAATTTGTTCTCGGTAAAAACGAGGTAAATCTGGCGGCAGCGGAATTAATTTTTGCTTTTGCAGAGTCAAGAAGGCATCGAATCTTCGAGGCAAAGGTGGTTCTACGGGGGGAAATTACTGGGTGATAAACTACACGTAGAAGAAGCCAAAATACCTCCAGGCTACGTTGTTCAAGTTATTGTCAATATGGAAACCTCGCCTGTTTCTAAGCAAGCCTTATAAAGTTGATAAAGTAAGTCAATCGCCCTTGATAGTAAACGTTTTGTCGTTATTGACGTTCGAATACAGGGCGATCGCGTAACAGTTGATTAAAACAATGACGAAAGGTGAGCCCGTGATTGTCAGTAACGACGAGCGATAACGCGAATTTCGTTGCGTAAATAAAATCAAATCACGAAATTCAGAAATGTGTGTGATTAGGACGGGGGCGTAGCCGTTGAATATTTAATAAAGTGTTGAGCGATTAAGTCCAACAACCTTCATGTTGTTTTCACTGAGGAATTGCTTATTGATTATTATTCGTTTTCTTCCATAGTAACCTCACTGTCAACTACAGAAGATTCCTGCTAAAGAAGTGGGTTATTTTTAGCGTTATTCTTGGAACCAACGTAATGCAGTGCTAGTTTCATGATATTCCAAAAAAGACTCAATTCATATCATTACTAGAATTAGAGGTTGATTTAAAGAGTGAAGTTTTTATATTACAGTAACAGCAAAAAAAATTCCGCCACACTTCATCCACTCTTGTTCTTTGCATACACAGTTGGCGCAAAAGGGCTTCTCGTTGTATGCATTTATTATTTTTTGACTGACTGTAATTGTTTTAGTTTTTGTACAGTTTAGAATTTATATTGCTTTACGACTGGATTGCTTTTTGTATTATATAATTTAATTTGCTAATATTAAAATTAACTTTTTTACGCAGCGTCACACGAAGGGATGAATTTTGCGCAGTCCAACTTTTGACTCAAAGTAGTGGCGCCAGATGTCGCTGTACTAATACGTAGCATATCCGGTTACTGAAAAAGACGTACTATACACACTGTAAAAATTCATCTCTTGCGCGATGATATTTTGTATATTGTGTAAGTTTTAAGTAAGATAATATATTTTATTTTAATTCCATGACTGGATCACTTGTTAGATCAGCTGTCGATAATGTGACCGGAAAGTCTATTTTTGTACACTTCGGTGTCAACTTCATCGGCGTTCTTTCCTTGTTGTTTTTCGTCCCTTTTGCTTAAGTCAAGTGTAACGTCCGTCCGAACTCTTGCGCACAACTGTTGCTTATTTCCTTTAATAACAACACGGATCGATTGCTCCGCTGTAGCGCAAGTTGACAATAGAACTAACGGTGAGATTATATGATGATAATTAGCGAAAATCAAACGTGCAATTTAGAAAATCAAAAGTTCTTTTCTATTAGGATTTAGGCCTAGTTGAAACGACACTAACTATACACATATCAGTGTAGTTATCGACGAGAAGGAAAATGACAAGGAAAGTCCGTTCAATACTCACTAATTAATATACAATAAAAGACTGTAGTGGACGATGTTACGTGGGAGAGAAAATTCGTTCCTCAAGTTGGTCAACCTGACGACTCCCACGTCAACATCGTCACCGTCAAAAATTAACCAATAATGAGATTTTAGGCAATGTAATGTAAATAAAACGCAATAAGTTTGAAAACAAGTGTTTTTTAAAAAATACGCACCAAATAATTATTACAATAACAGTTTGTTTTATGGTGGATCACGTGATAATAATGTATATTTTGTTTTAAACTAAATGAAATGGTAGTGTCGATACTAATTATCAATCAAATATCAATAATCTTACAATAAAAGTTTGTTACATCCGCTGGATTTTTATAACCTACTTTGGCAGTCTTTTGAGTTCGTGGGTTAACCACACGGCGGACGACAGCAGGAGCAAGGAGCCGCTCTGGTGACTGGCTGCCAACGCCGTCGGGACGTAGGTTAGGAGCGTCGTGATGCCCAAAGCAACCTAAATAATTAATTAAAAATTTTGCTGATTTGAACAATTAAATATTTACTTGTAACCAAGCCACAGCTCCGAGGACAGCAGCCGCCGTGTAAGCCCTCCTCGGCAAAATCCGCTTCCTCGACATTAAATACAAAGCGCTGATGACACTCACAGTCACCGTCCCCAAAATCCTGTGATCGAACTGAACCGTGGTGGGGTTTTCAGTCACATTGACGATGTTCGGGTTGAGGGCCAACAAGTCGTCAGGGATCCACTTATCCGCCATCTTCGGGAAAGAATTGTACACTAAACCAGCGTCCAAACCCGCCACAAACGCCCCTACAAACAATTTTTCATTTGTTTTTTCGAGTTTTCAATTTTTAAATTTTTCGTTTCGGTATTTACTTCCCGAGCGTAAGCTAAGAAAATGTAGTGAGCGAGTACATCGGACGAATGACCACTTTTATTTTTCTCGACGTTTCATGACCCCTACAGTACGAAAACGTTCAAATTTTCACAAAAACCCTGACAAAATCTGTTTCATCTTAGCAGCTGCTAGCTAGGATAAGACTGGTTTTGGCGAATGAAATCCTTCTAAGAAAATAGACATACACCATGGGTACTCAAGTCTCCAGAAAAAAAAACACTACGGCACTCAAGTTCATAAAAAATAAAACACTAAAAGCTCAAAAAATTTTTGCAAGTTCAGCCAGCAACAAAATACCAGATTCTTTTAAATTTATCCGAAAATAAAACACAAGGGGACCTAAAATGAACTGCGAACATTTTAAACGTAGGGTTTTGAAAACTTTGACAATTTTTGATACGTCAAACATTTTTAACTGCTTAGTCGATTGTTGCTGATTTGTACATTCGCTTTATATCAGGCAAACATTGTGGTCAAATGGAATTTTATCAAATTATTACAAAAACAACTCAACCATATCTTTGTACATTCTAACTGAAATGGTAATTAAACATGGTCGTGGGCGAGAGAAATATTATAGAGTTTTATTACTAGTTGTGAAAATGAATATGTTATTTAGTTGTTAAATGTAGCAAAAAAAAAACAATTATATAATTAAATCATTATAACTCCATCAAAATGTGAGGATTGTTTTACTATTTTTCCCAGACTCGCCAGTTGATTGTGGTTTAATTAATAATTTTAGTCCTGTTTTGAGGAGACAAACTCATTCAAATTTAACTAACTTCTACATGAGATTCTTTAGATGTATAAACATAAATAAACACATTTTATAGTTTTTTTAAAGAGCTAAATTTGACGGATTATACTTCCAGTTTTCGATCAATTTTTTTGTTGATCAAATTAAGAACCTCATTTTTTGGATTGCTTATACTTATGAGTCACTCAAAAAAATTAATGACTCAGTAAAAAAAAAATGTGTAAAAACCTCAACTCGAAAATGCTGGATATGTTTCATTATACTTCAGGAGCGAGGGAAGTTCTGTCGAAACAACTTTCGACCAATTTTTTTTAAATGTAAAACCTTAGGGGTTCCAACTGTCTTTTTTAAAAATCTAAAACCTCGGGGGCGTTAACTGTATTTTTTTAAGAATGTAAAACCTTCTGGGGGGTCCCAAGTGTCTTTTAAAAATGTAAAACTTTCTCAGGGGCTCAAATGTATTTTTTTTTAAAGTGAAACCTTCTCGGGGGCTCCAAACGTATTTTTTTTTAAATATAAAACCTCGAGGTACCCAAATATCTTTCCTTTTAATATGAAACCTTCTCAGGGGTCCTAACTGTCTTTTTTAAAAATGTAAAACCTTCTCAGGGGCGCCAAAGGTATTTTTTTTTTAATGTAAAACCTTCTCGGGGGCTCCAAACGTATTTTTTAAAAAATGTAAAACCTCGGGGACCTCAACTGTCTTTTTTTTTAATGTAAAACCTCGAGGGCTCCAAATGTATTTTTTCAAGAATGTGAAACCTTCTCAGGGGCCCCAACTGTCTTTTTTAAAAATGTAAAACCTTCTCGAGGGCTCCAAATGTATATTTTTTTTAATGTAAAACCTTTTCGTGGGCCCCAACTGTCTTTGTTAAAAATGTAGAACCTTCTCGGGGGCTCCAAACGTATTTTTTTTTAAATGTAAAACCTTCTCGGGGGCTCCAAACGTATTTTTTAAAAAATGTAAAACCTTATCTTGGGGACCTCAACTGTCTTTTTTTTTATGTAAAACCTTCTCAGGGGTCTCAACTGTCTTTCTTTTTAATGTGAAACCTTCTCAGGTGTCCCAACTGTTTTTTTTTTTTTAATGTAGAACCTCCTCGGGGGCACCGAAGGTTTTTTTTAATGTAAAACCTTCTCGGGGCTCCAAACGTATTTTTGTAAGAATGTGAAATCCTCTCGGGAGCCCCAACTGTCCTTTTTAAAAATGTAAAACCTCGAGGGCGCCAAATGTATTTTTTTAACAATGTAAAACCTTCTCCGGGGTCCCAACTGTCTTTTTAAAAATGTAAAACCTTCTCGGGGGCTCCAAACGTATTTTTTAAAAAATGTAAAACCTTCTCGGGGGCCCCAACTGTCTTTTTTAAAAATGTAAAACCTTCTCAGGGGCGCCAAAGGTATTTTTTTTTTAATGTAAAACCTTCTCGGGGGCTCCAAACGTATTTTTTAAAAAATGTAAAACCATCTCTGGGACCTCAACTGTCTTTTTTTTTTAATGTAAAACCTTCTCGAGAACTCCAAATGTATTTTTTCAAGAACGTGAAACCTTCTCTGGGGTCCCAACTGTCTTTTTTAAAAATGTAAAACCTTCTCAAGGGCTCCAAATGTATATTTTTTTTAATGTAAAACCTTCTCGGGGGCTCCAAACGTATTTTTTTTTTTTTTGTAAAACCTCGGGGGCTCCAAACGTATTTTTTAAAAAATGTAAAACCTTATCTTGGGGACCTCAACTGTCTTTTTTTTTAATGTAAAACCTTCTCAGGGGTCTCAACTGTCTTTTTTTTTAATGTGAAACCTTCTTAGGGGTCCCCAAAGGTCTTTCTTTTTAATGTGAAACCTTCTCAGGTGTCCCAACTGTTTTTTTTTTCTAATGTAGAACCTCCTCGGGGGCAACGAAGGTTTTTTTTAATGTAAAGCCTTCTCGGGGCTCCAAACGTATTTTTGTAAGAATGTGAAATCCTCTCGGGAACCCCAACTGTCCTTTTTAAAAATGTAAAACCTCGGGGGCGCCAAATGTATTTTTTTTACAATGTAAAACCTTCTCCGGGGTCCCAACTGTCTTTTGTAAAAATGTAAAACCTTCTCGGGGGCTCCAACTGTCTTTTTTAAAAATGTAAAACCTTCTCGTTGGCGCCAAAGGTCTTTTTTTAACAATGTGAAACCTTCTCTGGGGTCCCAACTGTCTTTTTTAAAAATGTAAAACCTTCTCGTGGGTCCCAACTGTCTTTTTTAAAAATGTAAAACCTTCTCGGGGGCTCCAAACGTATTTTTTAAAAAATGTAAAACCTTCTCGGGGACCTCAACTGTCTTTTTTTTAATGTAAAACCTTCTCGAGGGCTCCAAATGTATATTTTTTTTAATGTAAAACCTTCTCGGGGGCTCCAAACGTATTTTTTTTTTAAAATGTAAAACCTTCTCGGGGGCTCCAAACGTATTTTTTAAAATATGTAAACCTTATCTTGGGGACCTCAACTGTCTTTTTTTTAATGTAAAACCTTCTCAGGGGTCTCAACTGTCTTTCTTTTTAATGTGAAACCTTCTTAGGGGTCCCCAAATGTCTTTCTTTTTAATATGAAACCTTCTCAGGTGTTCCAACTGTTTTTTTTTTAATGTAGAACCTTCTCGGGGGCACTGAAGGTTTTTTTTTTAACAATGTAAAACCTTCTCCGGGGTCCCAACTGTCTTTTTTAAATATGTAAAACCTTCTCAGGGGCGCCAAAGGTATTTTTTTTTAATGTAAAACCTTCTCGGGGACCTCAACTGTCTTTTTTTTTTAATGTAAAACCTTCTCGAGGGCTCCAAATGTATATTTTTTTTAATGTAAAACCTTCTCGTGGGCCCCAACTGTGTTTGTTAAAAATGTAAAACCTTCTCGGGGGCTCCAAACGTATTTTTTAAAAAATGTATAACCTTCTCGGGGCCCCAACTGTCTTTTTTAAATATGTAAAACCTTCTCAGGGGCGCCAAAGGTATTTTTTTTTTAATGTAAAACCTTCTCGGGGACCTCAACTGTCTTTTTTTTTTAATGTAAAACCTTCTCGAGGGCTCCAAATGTATATTTTTTTTAATGTAAAACCTTCTCGTGGGCCCCAACTGTGTTTGTTAAAAATGTAAAACCTTCTCGGGGGCTCCAAACGTATTTTTTTTTTAAATGTAAAACCTTCTCGGGGGCTCCAAACGTATTTTTTAAAATATGTAAAACCTTCTCCGGGGCCCCAACTGTCTTTTTTAAAAATGTAAAACCTTCTCAGGGGCGCCAAAGGTATTTTTTTTTAATGTAAAACCTTCTCGGGGGCTCCAAACGTATTTTTTAAAAAATGTAAAACCATCTCGGGGACCTCAACTGTCTTTTTTTTTAATGTAAAACCTTCTCGAGAGCTCCAAATGTATTTTATCAAGAACGTGAAACCTTCTCTGGGGTCCCAACTGTCTTTTTTAAAAATGTAAAACCTTCTCAAGGGCTCCAAATGTATATTTTTTTTAATGTAAAACCTTCTCGTGGGCCCCAACTGTCTTTGTTAAAAATGTAAAACCTTCTCGGGGGCTCCAAACGTATTTTTTAAAAAATGTAAAACCTTCTTGGGGGCCCCAACTGTCTTTTTTAAAAATGTAAAACCTTCTCGTTGGCGCCAAAGGTCTTTTTTTAACAATGTGAAACCTTCTCTGGGGTCCCAACTGTCTTTTTTAAAAATGTAAAACCGTCTCGGGGGCGCCAAAGGTATTTTTTTTAATGTAAAACCTTCTCGGGGGCTCCAAACGTATTTTTTAAAAAATGTAAAACCATCTCGGGGACCTCAACTGTCTTTTTTTTTTAATGTAAAACCTTCTCGAAGGCTCCAAATGTATTTTTTCAAGAATGTGAAACCTTCTCTGGGGTCCCAACTGTCTTTTTTAAAAATGTAAAACCTTCTCGAGGGCTCCAAATGTATATTTTTTTTAATGTAAAACCTTCTCGTGGGCCCCAACTGTCTTTGTTAAAAATGTAAAACCTTCTCGGGGGCTCCAAACGTATTTTTTTAAGAATGTGAAACCTTCTCGGGAGCCCCAACTGTCTTTTTTAAAAATGTAAAACCTTCTCGTTGGCGCCAAAGGTCTTTTTTTAACAATGTGAAACCTTCTCTGGGGTCCCAACTGTCTTTTTTAAAAATGTAA